GTTAAAATTTGTAAGTTTTAAAATTTTTTGGATTTTTTAATTGTGTTTAAATGAAAATAATTACAAATTGACTCCTAAATTGATAAATATTTATTAAAAAATATCAAATTTGTAGTTTTTAACATGTTTACATATATTTGGTCTATGTCACAATGTATTACATAATAGTCTGTATAGTTCAGAACATATTTGTATATTTGGAATGATTTACAACATATTAGTCAATACTTAGTGTAGCTAAGAATGATTTTTTTTTTTTATGGTTATTGAACATAATTTTCCAAACTTTTCTTCTAAGACACAAATTACACAAAAACAAAAAAAAACCCAATAAAAAACAAGGAGTTATAGCGATAAAATTCAATATGTTTGATGGGCCTTAAAAATCGAATGCCCAATAGTATTTTAAAATCACGTGAGAGCTTTATTCTCCTCCGTGTGATGATGGACGTGATGGACAACAAATTTAGTTTTTTTTTTCGCTGCTTGACGAATAAAAATGGTACTATCCTAAGATGTTTAAAAAAATTCTTGTTTCATTTTATTTGATACTCTCTTCATTTCATTATATTTAATTTGATGTGTTTGATACTTTTTTTTGTTCTATTTTATTTGATATTTTTAGGTTTTTATGCAAAATTAATTGTATTTTCGTTGTTTTTTACTGTTTAATTTCTACATATTACTTTTCCATTGGCTGAATTGTTTTGAAATTGATGATAAGACATGTTTTATTTTTAAAAATTAAAAAAATAAATGACTTCTTAATCTATCTGTAAAAACCTTAAACATCAAACAAAATGAAATGGAGAGAATATTTTTTTCAAATTTCTACCCAAAAATTAAATGTATTTGATAGTATTATGCAATATTTTCTCTTACTTGTTAAATGCTTTTAATTAGGTATTAAATGATGTATTTAATGTAGGAAAAAAAACTGTTTTCTAATAATCTATACTCCATCTACATTTTTTTAACTAAACATCTAAGGGACATTTAGGGTCTAAATGGTAACAGCAGAATTTGGCTGAATTTTGCTGAATTGCAGAATCTGGCTGAATTTCTAGTATTTTTTGCAGAATCTGGTAGAATATCTTAAAATATAAATGGTGATAGCTGAATCTAACTGAATCTAGTTGATTCTTAAAAAAAAATATTTATATAAACCTTAAAAGTTAGTAAAATAATTTTATTAGTTAAATAAACTAACA